GTCATGTATAACGGTAAGTCTCGACACATACGTCGAAGACATGACACGGTAAGACAACTTCTTTCTAGTGGAATTATCACAATTGACTATGTGAAGTCAAAAGATAATATTGCGGATCCATTAACAAAAGGCCTAACTAGAGAGATGGTTGCGAAAACATCAAGGGGAATGGGTTTAAGGCCTATAAACAAGTCATCATAGCGGAAACCCTACCTAGTTGACTGGAGATCCCAAGATCTAGGTTCAAAGGGACAACTAAGTTATGAAGACAGAGTGTAGAGTACTTGTCAAATTTTTACTCATTCCCTGGATGAAGACAAGATTTAATATGTGAAGGTTAAGCAAAAGCTTTTAATGATTCTGAATTGAGTATGTGATATACTATATGTTCAGAAATCACCTATGTGAGTGTGAAGTGAGGGCCGCTTCTGTGAGAATTGAAAAAGGCTGAATTCTCTAAAACACTCATGAGACCAGGCGGTGTTCATGGCCAAAACGAACACAACAGTGATAACCAATTTTGTTCGAGAAAAAGTTGTGTGATTTCTATTGTCTAGGCTTACACCAAAGGTCGACAGTTCAAAGACATCAAGTCTATTGATTGACTGAGTAAGTCCGATAGGTTTCACTAAGGAAAGTTCAAAGTCTCAGATTACTTATCCTGATGCAACGTTTTCTCATGGAATAATTGCACCTTGCATCTCATGCATACATGAAGAGTCATGATATCTGAACTTCTCATTCATGTGGGGGATTGTTGGGATTTTGGCACAAAATACCATAGAATTGAATGAGAAGTGTGTGGATGAAAGTGTCCCACATAGAATAGAAGAGGGATGGGAAATGGGTTCAAATAGTTGAGCCTCACAAATGGGTTTGGGCCCCAAGGGGTACCCCACTTTTGTGGAAGAGAGAGGACCTACGTCAAGCTAGGTCGGTCCACCCCCCGCGCGCGCGCCGCCGCCGCCGTCCGGCCGGTTCGGTTCCGGATCCACTCTCTATCGGTTTTTTATTTTTTATTTTTCGAACAGACACGTTGTTTAGAAATTATTTATTTATTTATTTTTTGGACAAACAAACATGTCTGTTCGTGAGGTTCGGTTCGCCCGAACGAAAACCGAAGCCCTTTCGCGCCTGTTCACGAACCAAAACCTGTTCAAGGCTCGGCTCGTGACTGTTCGCGTAGAACCGAACGAAATTGTTCGGTTGGTGACTCTTCAGTTTCATCCTTCTATATCCGAAATTCCTTGGTGACTATTCATTCACACATGACCGAGCGAAGTATAAAGTCAAAACCAAATTGAACATTTCGGAATACTCTTGGCATTTTCATATTTTCACGGCATTCTGCTGCACTCTCATTCTTCATCGTTGTCATCTTTTGTGCGATTATTCTGCGAACTTGCGTTCGAAGATTTCTTTTGAAGAAGTACCGCTTCATAGGAAAGGCGATCCGTTCTATCCTGGGAGGCAATTGTTCAACGACCTTTGGGTACCGGTAGAGGGGACAAATTGTCTTAAGGACACAACGTGAATTCGTTGGGCTCGGATCAATCGTCAAATTCGGATAACTCATTTCAGGTTTGTCAAACAACTTTACTTTGTATGCACATACAAACACGTGAATAGTGAACAATATTTATGACCTATGCGTGGGGCGTGGAGGTATTTCATGAGCCTTTAAGTAGTCGCACATTTGTGATCTAGCTTTCCCCGTCAACTCATTTGAGTGTTTCCCTTAGTTATACCTAAAATCCTATAGCTGTAATGTCTTTTGTTTGACATGTCAAATCGGGAGAAAGTCCAATGCAAATCATATCTGGTTTGAACCTTTAATACACAAATATGTGTGTAAACAATTCAATTCCAGTTGATCGGCTGGAGAAGGTAACGACCAAAGCGATTGTGGTAGGTTTGCTCCTTCAATAATAATGATTAATCTAAATCCAGTGGAAACCCCATCGATGATATAGTACGCACGATGCTTAATTTATGCACATTCCCCCCTTCGTACTTCACCATTTCTTTAATTCCCTTGTCGCTTTTCTAGCTTTGGCAATCGATCGAATCGATCATTCCCCAAAATAGAGATGCACATCGCTTTCGCTCAATTAAATTTCGTGTCTAGCAAATTGGCGCTAGGTGGGAGCGATGAAAAAGAAGGTACGTCTCCTTCTTGTGCATGCAATTGAAAAAGCGAAATGAACAAGTAAATTAAAATAAAGAATTTCAAGTCGCCAAAGAATCCCACCATATCCATTGCTGTCCGACCAAAGAGTGGATGGTGATGGCAAAGAAAAAGATAAATTAAATTAACGTCGTTAATGTAATTGCAATTTGGTCTTTCGTCGAGCTATGTTATGCCGGACTTGAAGGAGGAGGAGGGAAAGAAAAACACAAGAGGGAATTTAAAAAAGATTTTACAAATGGGGAATCGATAAAAAAAATAAATTAGGAGCCGGCCCGTATTAAAATCGATATACCAACCATATGTTCTAATTTTTTTTTATTATAATTACGTAATGCATTTTTTGGATATATTATATGATGGGGAGGTGGCCCCGTACTTTTCGACCACGCGAGAAATTCTTGATTTAAAAAATTTACGGTTTTTTTCTGCCCGATATTTCGCCGGAATACGATTCCTATGCAATTTGCGGTAAAAAAAAACCCTTCAAAAATAAAAAAAAGGAAAGAAAAAATAATTGTAAATGAAAAAAAATTCTTGTTGGAGTTTGTGATCTCAGCTTTGGTGTGGTGCCACCAATTTGGACCATATAATTAAATTGGGCACTAAAGATCCAATGACACCACCGTCTTCGTCGTCTACCCCATTCGATTTAAATGATCGGGGACCAGAAGATTTATTAAACTTGTTGTTTGCTATGAGTCCTGCAATGTCAATCGGACAATTACAGCTAGCTCATGAACCTTGAAGTATCTCAGGTCCCTGTCGCCTTATGAGAGACGGAAAAATAATAAAATATAACCTTGGACTTCATGTATTTATGCATTACGTCGGGCTCTGGCTGTTTATCGTGCCAGCAGTAAAACGAGTCGAGATATGAGTTTTTTTTTTGTGTGCGCGACAAACTAACACATGTTGGTACGTACGCGAATAGAAAACATCGAGGCGATTATTTACCTAGATATGTTATTTTCGAGAAGGAAAAATGAAGCTGAAAGTGACATTGGTTGCTCAGAGCTGAAGAACGTAATTATTTGAGAGGAAGACTCTCAAGAAATTACGAGGAACGTTCGTAAGGGTATTGATCATACACATTTTTTTCTTTAAATACTGTTGTTACACGGCATCATGAGGAGCATGTATAAAAGCATTGTACGAAGTAGCATTTGACGTGTTCCTAGAAGTGATGAAAATACTTTTTAATTCGTATAATATGAAAGTTAAGACATAAAACTAGGGATGACCGGTTTTAAAGTAGGTAGATTCCAAAGTAGAAACTTAGAACCTAGCTTGACCGGTTGACCTTGGAGCCGGCCTACCTATTTTTTTCTTTGTTCTTTTCTGTTTCATTTTTATTTAATTACTAGATCATATACATTATTTTGGCAAAATTTCTCAATTACGACCATAATAGCCTGCTTATGTTGGAATGCTTAACGTCATTATTATTGGCAAAAGTCTCAATTAAGAGACTTGTAGGGTTTGGTTTTGAAACGATTCAAAACCTATTCTATCCAAGAACTGACCTTGAAACGGTTCTACTTAGGAACCGAATCGATCAAGGCTGGATACCAAATTTTTTACTCGAGAACCGAATCGGTCCCCATGTGAACCGATTTGAAAATGGCCGAGTAAGACCGGTTCGTTTCGATTCAGTTCCTTTGCCGAGTTGAACCACCGGCTCGGCTGCTCATCCTCAGGCTAAACTATATAGCTATCACTCGCCTTCAAAATTCAATGTGCCTTGTAGTAGCATTACTTTCGAGCCAGCGCTTTTCATTCACCAGGGAAAACTCTATCATATGAAGGAAAAAGCATTATTGCCAATGTCAGTCTAACATCATTCAAATCATCTCGTTAAAATCGACTCAAATTTTTGTATATACTTTACTCATCCTTTTGTCGCGGCTCAACAGATATTCTTCTGTGATTCTGTGTCATTTCCAGCTTAAGAAATAAAGAAAACAGAACAGATATCTTCTTGAAACTCAGTTTCAACACCAGCCACATTTTTTCATACGCGCATTTATCCACACGCCAAGAAATTAGACGTAAGTTTCAAAAACAGCTGACTGACAGCGCACACTGATTATGACATTGGTTTAAAAAGCTGAGGTTTAAATAATAAAGGCCAGTAGATACGGTAGGCTGAAGAGAGTGTTATTATCCCACTGAGAGGCAAAAATGGTCATTATCACCATCACTCCCTTGCAATCTCGCACCCTGTTTCACCATCTGTCGTGTCTGCCAGAAACCCTAAAGTTAAAAATTCCAACCTAGAAGATGATAACAGCATGAACAACAGTAATTGAGGCTTGGAGGGTCGTCGTTTCAGTGGCTGAAGTCTTTCCTCATTGAGGTGATCATGAGGTTTAGACTTTCGTTGCCCATTTCCTTGTGAATCATTTATTTTTATATGCCCAATATGGCAGGGAATGCACTGGGGAAGATACCATGTCATGATCAAAACCTCACTTTGGTCTTTGTTGATTATGTTTGTCTGGAACAGTCATGAGAATCATGAGATGGTGGTTTCATGCACGAATCTTCATTAGGAAAAGTTGCTGGAAGGGCCATTGTTTTATTCACAATACGAGAGGAGTATACTTTATACAGGTACGGACGAATCCAGAAACTGTAACACAATTACGTACACAATAGGCGAGAGAGAGAGAGAGAGAGAGAGTAAATGAGTACTCAACCATCCAAAAGCAGAAGCAATTTATGAGGCCCTCTTCGAACAAACTACAGTAGTTGAGTCCGTTGAAGTGGGCACCACATTACATAGAAGCAATCGAGAGAGACGATGGAGTTAATAACATAGAAGAAGGAACTGATTAAGAAGTTAATTACATACAGAGAGTCAAATAAACTCGGCCAAAAACAGTTTGAGCATGAACAAAGTTAGTCATATAATCAAATACATCGTGTGATTATTGCATGTTTTGATTGGCCGAGTTTATCATATTGTGAACGGAGTCCAACACAAGCCCTTGGAAGAAAAACAAGAAGGGCTTTACATGACTGAGCACTTAGAGGAGAAGATCGACACAAATTGAAAAAAGGTAAATAAGTCAAAGCACATGATTTACATGGACAGATAATTCACAAATTTCATACCAGTACTGATAATTATCTCACAACAAGCCTGCAGATTCATCATGTATCAATCTCTCTGGCACTGGCATTGGATCACCCACCCACATAACCACACTCATCATCAAAGCTTGCCCCCAGCCACGGTGGATGATAAAGCCACCCGTCCACCGAGTCGATGAGCACGAACTCGCTGCTCGGCCTCGTCAACTCGTAACTCGTCCCGAGACTAGGCAACTCGATGATCTCGCTCAGCTCCTCCGATGTCTCAGATAGATCCATCGCCGAGACTAGTGATGACAACGGACTTGTTGACGAGGATGACGACGCCGTTGATGTGGTGATTGTATCGAATTTATCCATCTGGGCTGCTTTTGTCGCCGCCGCTTGCACGTCGCGCGGGCTTAGCGAGATGGGCCGAGGCAGCAAGCTGGCGAGTTCGGGGAAATTGAGGATCGCCGAGCTGCCTTTGATGCTCAGGGCGGCCACGTCGTGGGCACGAGCTGCCATCTCCGGCGTCGGGAACGTCCCGAGCCAAATGCGGGATTTCTTCCGCGGCTCGCGGATCTCGGAGACCCATTTGCCCCAGTTCCTCATGCGCACGCCGCGATACACCGGGTGCTTGCCCGAGTCGCGGAGGCGCTTGATCTTCTTATCGGATTCGGCTGGCAGGTCGGCAGAATTCTGGTCGCCGGTGGGCTTAGGGGCTGAGTTGAGGGAGGAGTCAGTCCACCCTGTGGGCGAGGAAGGGGAGGATGGTGGGGAAGAGAGCGAGTTGGAGCTTGTTTCGCGGTCCGAGTTGGACGACTCGATCATTTTATCTAGTGAACACGGTACTCTCTTTGCTTTCTTGGGGGATTCGTCCTTGTTTTTAGTTCTTGGTTTTGTCCTTCCTCGGTAGTCACTGAGTTTGGAATTGGATGGCCAAATGAGGGTTTTAGGGGAAGAACCACTCGGTCTTCACAGACAGAAGAAGAAACTGCTATAGTATAGAGACTATAGTCTTGGTTTATTTTGGAGCAAGTGAAGCAACCAAGAGAGAAGACAATCAAGCTCGCTTGCCCACATGTGGTAAACTCAGACAATTCCAAACTCTTGGCGAGGGAGAGAAGAGGGGCGGGCTCAGTTATGTAACTGTTGACAATTCCAAACTCTTGGCGAGGGAGAGAAGAGGGGCGGGCTCAGTTATGTAACTGTCTCTCTCTGGCTAAAAGTTGAAGGAGATTGAAATGCTGAGACTCAGAGAAAGAGGAGCTCTTGAAGAAAGATAGAGACAGAGGGAGATGATGATGAGGAAGAGGAGAGAGAGAGGACTTGAGACCACTGGGCATTGAAGGAGTTAAGTAAGTGGGCATGCACTTTGAGAGCTACTCCCCTCACTCAGAGCTTCACTGTGCAGTGAAGGAGTTAAGTGGGGATGCACATTGAGAGCTACTCTACTTGAACAAAGCAGAAGCTTTTTCATCTTCTTCTTCCTTTTTTTGTTTTGTTCCTCCTCTCCCCCAATATTTTCCCAGTGAGCCACACAACATTTATAAAGGGTTTCAATGAAGAGAACGACGGAGAGGTGGACCCATTAAAGAAATGGGTTACCCTAAGCTACAATGTGAGGGGTCCCCATCCCCTATAAGACCCAAAGAAACCCTTACATTTAATTATTTCATCTTTGTTTCTTTAAGGTCATAGCAATAAGATAGCTTCCAATCTTTGCTTTTGATATCTCTCTCTCTCTCTCTCTCTCGCTCGCTCTCTAGCTTCAGTGTTTCACCTGGTCACTCCTGTTCATTTAACCCCTTATCATGTTTCAGGGACCATCACCAACCCCATGTAAATCAATTAATCATTCGTCACCCAAGAAAAAAGTCTTGCCCCTTTCTCCTTGCATTGCCAAAGTAAAGATAAAGTAAAAAGAGAAGAAGAGGAAAAAGATAAAATCCTCGTTCGCAAGTTCTTTCTTTTGTCTTCCCAAGATTGGTTGGTGGGGATATGCTGATCCTGTGTGAGGTAACTGGTTAGGGTTTACAGTGCCACCATTCCCCATTGGGATATATATAAATAAGGGAATGACTATAATATTGTGATGGGTGTTGGACTATTAACATAATGTTCATCAGGTCTTTCTTTTCCTTCTGCATGATTGATTCTGATCTGGAGGGATTTTTAGCTAGATGTGGAAAGAAAGAACTTGAGGCCCATATTCAATAAAGTCCCAGCTCGGACGCTAGAGGACGGGTCCAATCACTGTTTAAAAAATTGTATTATGTGATTGAGAGGCCTGCCCAATTGCTTAAAAAAAAAAAGGGTGCCAGAGCATTTATACAGTAAACCATGCTTAACAGCTTGACACTTTCTGACCAATGGTTTCTTGCAACTGTTCAAGATCATATGCATAGAATCAATGGCTTAAGTTCTACCGAGGCAAGTCGCTAATTACGCGGATATGATATGGAATAGCTAAAGTTGAAGTCCTTTCGAGTGAGCGTACATGTACTTGGGAATGTTACCACGCATCTAAGCTATTCATCAATTGGGATAATGACACAAATGATCTATAAATTTTTAATTTGTGTAATGTGTCCTTAAACTTAGCCCAATATGCAATGTAATTCCAAACTTTCAATTTGTTTAATATGTTCTTGAACATTTTCATATAGTTTAAGGATTAAATTGAACACATAACAAAAGTTTAGGTATCATATTGCACATTAGACCAAAGTTTAGGGATTATTGGTGTAATTTTTCCTTCTAAAAATAAGATTTGACTTTTTCGTGAACTTTTGTTAAAAAGAGGCCGTGCATTTCCAAAAAGACTATAATGGTTAGCTACCAAATCTAGCATGTACGTAGTTAAACTACACATTTTCTGGTTTACGGACAACTGCCAAATCCAAACCAAATCTAAGGACAAAGCTTACAAAACTAAAAGAAAAAAGAAAGAGAGAAAAAATTGTAAAGAACACCATTTAATTAAGGATTAATACAATGAAAAATCTCAAATTGATACGCTTATGATAAATTTATCACAAACAATATTTTGACTACCAAAAACCTCAACTGGTACACCCGTGATAAATTTACCCGCTATTAGTTTCCGTTAAATTTTACCTTCAAATTTTTCAGTTAGATGACACGTGATAATTGACGGATGTTATACCCTTTGTTTGTCACGGATGTACCAGTTTGTGATTTTTCGTGATATTAATTATATTTAACGAAAACTAACAAAGGGTAAATTTATCACAAATGTACCAGTTTGAGATTATCGATGGTAAAAAAATTAGTTTAAGATAAATTTGTCACAAGTATATCAATTTGGGGTTTTTGATGGTCAAAAATTAATTTAGAGTAAATTTATCACAAATATACAAGTTTGAGATTTTTCGTGATATTAACCTTTTAATCAAGCAATCCATTCGAATTCTCTCGATAATAACCTTTTACCATTAATTTGCCCCACCTCTCAATCTCATTAAACTTCTTTTGTTTGTCGCTATACGAATACGACCAAGAGATTTGTATGCATGCATGCATCCATACACGTGTGGATGATGGCCCCGTGATTAAGCGAAGATCTGTCTGTCAGTGAATGCATGGCAGGGTCCCATATACATAATGGTCCTGCACGGTGCATGAGTGAGCCTCCAATCCATAGGGTATTAGTTGAGCCAATACTGTGTATATGAAATCTGCCGAACCTAAAGATATACGCGACCCTTCATTGGTCCATTGAATATTATAAGTTTTGCACAATTTCTGCACCGTATTTGGTTTTGATTTGTCCACCACGTCATCAATAGACTTTAAAAGTCTATGCAACGCTACATTTTTGCTCCATGAGATGCATTCATCTATCTGATCGTAAATGCACTTCGGCCACCGAACATTATGCAACAAATCATCTCGGGTCCCGATAGCGAACAAAGCACTTGATGAGCCCGTGGGTCATGCGATGTCTCGAACCTACTCGGCGCTTCTGCATTCTCTTGAACGGTGAGGGATCGATTGGTATCGCATTAATGACCATTACCCCACAATGCAATCAACGGCCTTGGCTTCAAATTTATGTCCTCCTGAGGATGTGTGGAAGTACACTTTCCTTTATTCGTGCTCGTGTGAGTTCATACCAGTACAGAAATATACTGTATTCACTGTACTTTTTCATCACCCTTGATTAGCTACCTTTCTCTATTTGGTATGGTGTGGTGAAATGACGAGTAAGGAACATGAAATGGAAGAAGGAATGGAATAGATTGAAAAGAATGATCACTCTCCTTCGTTTATTTGGCCGTGATAAAGATGTGAAGTGAAAAACGGAAAGAGAGTGACAAGAACAAATGCTGAAGACTCTCCTTAAATGGGTAATGGAGGGTGAAGAATACTAGAAGTGCCAAAACTTGTGTACGACGCTCACTTTAGTGTCAAAAGTTTGTTTCGGATCATTTAAGTGTCACTTTTTTGAAAAAACGGTCACTTAAGTGCCAACTCCGATTTGGGTCGCCGGAAATCTGACGTGGCCATATTTTATTAATTTCTCAGTCCTATGTGGCACGTCGGCGCTGACGAGGACAATATTTAATAATATTTTAAAATTTTAAAATTTTTTTTTTTCCTGATTTTTTTTTTCTGTTTTTTCCTTTTTTCGTTTTTTCTTTTCTTTCTTCTTCTTCTTCGTTTGGCCGGTGATCGGACACCGGCCACCGACCATGGCCAGTCGCCTGGCCTCGCCCGGACGAGGCCGCCGTCGCCCGCCACGGGCGAGGCGAGGCGAGGCCGGCCTCGCCTAGGCCACGGCGGGGCCGGGCCTCGCCCGGCCACGGCGAGGCCGGCCTCGCCAGGCGGGCGTGCCTCGCCGGGTCGCCTTCCCGGGCGACCCCGGCGAGGCCAGGCGGCCGGCCATGGCCGGTGGCCGGTGTCCGGTCACCGGCCAAATGAAGAAGAAGAAGAAAAAAAAAAAAAAAAAGAAAAGAAGGAAAAAATAGAAAAAAAATCAAAAAATAATTAAAAATTCGAAATTTACACGTGAAAATGCCACGTAGGACTGAGAAATTCGAAATATACACGTGGAAATGCCAAGTAGATTAAAATTTTAATTAAAAAAGCCACGTATTAATTTGGCCGGAATTTCTCGCCGTTGGCACTTAAGTGATCCGAAACAAACTTTTGGCACTAAAGTGAGCGTCGTACACAAGTTTTGGCACTTCTAGTGTTCTTCTCCCGGTAATTGAAAAGGAAAAGCTAAGTGCCAATGTTGAAAAGAAATGCCAAAGTGAGTCCTATCGTCTTGATGACAAGAATGACAATCTCTATTCGTATATTTTGAGACTTTTGAGCGTGTCTTGAGTTTCGAGCCCAAGGACATGCATCGCCACCCGAATTCGATTGTTAATCGTATTAGAGAAAGATAACGGTAGAGCAGATTTCTTGATGCGTGGGTTTCCATATTTTGCATGGAAATAAGGGTTTTGTAGTGCTTAGCCTCAGCAAAACAATGTTCAGGGACTTTGTGTGAGCTGAGAGAACATTTATATGGGACTTTGAGTCGAGATTAGACAACGAGAGAGATAGTGTTACTGGGGTTAGGGCAATGAGCGAGGCATATGTACATGTTGCAACCTCTTGCAATTCTTGAATAGCAGAATATGACCATATAAATCCTCTTATGTGCATCCAGATTCAAATCATGTACAGCCGTCTCGTGCATGTGCTTATCTCGTCTGTCTAATCTGTTTTATCGCTTTCCAATTGTGTTATGGCCTCGGGTTTCCTACGTAAGTATGGAATCGCCATTTTCAATTGGAATGTCCAGTCCATCTCAGAGACCTTTTACCAGATACACAAGGAAAAGGAGAAGACTCTACACGGAATATAATGCGTGCCTGAGGAGTCTAACAGCTATGCATCATACTTGGGCTGATTAACTCTGAATATATCTTCGGTTATTGGCTGAATGGGCCAAGTTAGACTAGGCTGAGGAGCACCACCTTTCATTTCATTTGATGGCGACGAGCCCATTCCGATCATGCATTTCAAGAATCAGTAAATTTTCTTAATCTAGCCAGCCAAAGATAAGAAGAGACAAAAACAGAAACCCACATTTTCCAGACACCCTTCTAACCATGTCACATATCTATATTGGTTTTCTCAGCATCTCTGATAATGTTCTTTTAGCCCACGAATTGGTGAAAATTATCATAGCCGGTCTGATCTCCCCGAGATTCATTGATTAAAGCTGATCTTATGAAGGCTATTGACTCAGCGAGATGGGATTATTTGCTTTAAGTGATTCGAGTTATTGATGTTCTTGACCCAGTTCATGCAATAGATTACAGCTTGCATTGCTTCTCCCTATTTTTCTATATCCTTGAATAGTGACCTTTGAGAAAGAACAAAGTAACGAAGTAATGAAACTACACAAGAACCAGATCAATAGAAAACCTCATCACCATAGCCATTTCTTTATACTCTGTAAAAATTCATCTGAAAGCCCTCCATCATCACCACATACACGAACACACAAG